AACTACAGAGGACATTTTTTAAGTACCTAGTATTTTACTTGTACTTGCTATACTTGTATTCGTCCAACCACTAATTCGAAGTTTTATCGATTGCTGATAAAAATGATAATCAGTTATTGAAAATTGTCTATTTTAGTTGTACGTCAATACTGTGAAACATTATCTCGCAAACCGAAGCAGGATTACGAAAAACTATTTGGCTATAAGTATAATCAAGGCAGTGAAACACCAGTTTCCGGTGTTTCTTCACAAGGTAAAACTGTCATTTAACTTATGAAAAGAATCTTTATATACTAATGTATAGGTGTTACCTTACTTGATCGTTTACTTTTGTTGAATCATTGCATGCGTCCGACTGCTGAAGAATTGCTAAGTTAATATACGTAAATCAATAAGCGTAGCATATCAAATGAATCTTTTTTGAACAGATGATCCTTACTTTGAAATGTACCATGATCCAATCGATGAGCCGTCTTCGGAACTTTTCATCGATGAATATCAAGATGCGACATATTCAACTGAGAAATGGAAATGTAAGTTTAGCTCTTTTTTGACTTGTCAATAAATTTATTAACAATTTACATCAATTGTTCTTTTCAATTAAAAACAAATTAATCGTTTTCAAGCACTTAATTAATTAAAACCATTTTGTAAAGATGTTCGAAATAAAAATCATACAACAATAGTAGACGTAAAGAAAAACATGAGCGCTATTCCACTGTAAGCTTGTTACTATAATAGTTTCATGACAATAAATCGCATGGATTAAATTTCTTAAGAAATAACCTTATATTTGTTGACAATTATCTAAGTCTTTTTTTTATAGCTATCACTTGGAATATGGTCAAAGAATTTGTACCATCTCCATGGACCAATGAGAACATTATCGATAAATCGTAAAAGAAAGAAACATATTATATGATCAAATCATGGCATATAACATTGATTCTCGTTGTTTTCTTTGCATGTAATTTCGCTATTGTTAATCTTTACATCTACTCTCGCAAGTCGTCATGAATTTCTAATCAGTTCTCTTATTTGATATCAATAGTTTTTGTTTCTTGAATAAACTTAAGTTACAAAGGTGAATGAAACTGATTGAATTCCGACTGCAGAAATACATGAGCGTAACTGATGTACCATATTTATTACTGAATTAAATCACTTCCAGTTTCTGAGATTCTACATGTAATGAATATCAATTTCGACAATGAATATTTAAGATGCGAAGATTTTGCATGATAAAAAGTGCAAGATAAAATTAAGGTGCACACTTTTGAATACGATTGAAAGAACTTTACAATAAATACTCAATGTAGTACATTTCTTTTCATTGAAACATTCATAACTGGATTGTCGATCTACATATGACATGATTTGATAATATATCTGCAGCTAAATTCGATAGATACGAGCTGCTTTGCGTCAGAAGACTTGTAAATGAGACTGAATATTACCAACATCATTACATAGGGATAGATGGAGTGAACTCAAGCGATGAAAATTTGACACGACAGATATTAACAATTAATATATCGATTGATTAATGTTATGACATTGGAAGAATATGTCATATACACTTTTCTCCATTTTAGTCAAATGAGAGAATGTATCAAGCATTTTTTTCTGGAAAAAGATATAAGACAAATATTTTTCTTCAATCTATTGAAAAGAAATCTTCGCTTTGAAGAAAAATTCGACAATAAATGGTTAGATCAGTGTTAGTGATGAGAAATCCAACTTCGTTCTTTTCTTCAGCACTCTTATCCTCTTTACTTATTTATCATCAAGAATGTGATTAGCGGTGACCCTTTATCTTTATTATCCTTTATAATAAAGGAATAAATGGTACTTTTTAGGACCACAGATAATGTAATTGGAAGAGTACCAGAATCATGGAATAAATCTACAGAGAGATTATTACCGTTTAAAAATGTAATTTGATTTAAAATATGGTTCCTATGATGAAATTTAAAAACCACAGAAACGAAAGCTTTATTTCTGATTTTTTAGAATACCAAGAAAGAAAAAAATCTTCTTGTAACATTCTAATGTGATCAAAGGCTTTCTATGTACTTAGACATCTTTTTAAAGATTTATTTTAAAATCATAGAATGTTTTAATTGAATCGATGATCGATCAATCTTCATATTTCTAAATAGAATTTCTTTATAATTTTGAATTTCAATTTTAATTATCTACAACCTTGCCCAAGATAGTCTACATACCCTTAACCTTAGAAAGAATTATAAGGAAAAGCACAAGCTTTGTATACTTCATAGCATGTTTGCTTGCTAGTGTGAACTGACAAGTACTTATATAATTGTGAGAGTTCAAAGAAGCTATTTGGATTGAGCCTTTTCTATCCCGGAAATTTAGTCATTCACATAGTTTCACCATTTTATTTTTGTCGCATTAAGTTTATTGAGGATAAGAATCTAACTTTTACAACTCGGGAGTTGGGATTAGCTGTAAATATTGGCGGTGTGAGCGTGAGAAGGGTGCATGGTGTCATGACTCTTTTTATCCTTCGGAAAGGAGTGTGAGTATGTAGCTGATGTGAGAGAACGTGACCGTGCACTTGTAGACATTCATTAAAAGAAACAAATATGAACCAGTTTGTAACAATCATTCACACACTCATCATAAACTTAAATTGTAGTGCTTCAGTTTTAAAGAAAAAAATTGATGTTGCACTTCCAGTAACAGTACAAAATGCGGGACAGATCATTGAGGAGATAATAATCAAAGAACGGAAGTAACTTATCTAAAGTAACACGATTTCGATAGTGCTTCTCATGAAATGAAACATGTTTCGAATAAAAAACGTACAGATGAATATAAGAAAATAAAACCGATGCTTTGCAAATAAATAATGTTCAATAATTTTGATAAGGACATTTGAAATTTAAAGACCGTTGATAAGAGAAAAATAGTCTATGCTCACAATTGTTGTCATGCTAGTAGAGAACGACCTACTTAACCATCTCGACAGATCTCACAGATGGCAAATTAAAAATGCACAAGAAGCTATTCAAATATAATATTAATATTTTTTTTCTTGACTTTTGTCTTCTGGTTCCTCGTACAAAGTGTGGTCATCGGTTATTTGTTCGAAATCACCTACTCGATAACTTCATTAGAATAAATCTGAACCGCTTGATGCAGTATTTTTTACAAACAACTTTATGTGACTGTCTTGAAATTTGTATGAAAATCCAAATTTTATCTGTATTTGTCTTTTTCATTTTAATTAAAAAATAAAGTATTAGCGTAGCAGAAGAGTGGGTGTGTGGGTGTGGGTAATACTTTAAGCCACACCCACACCCACCGATACCCACACCCCACACCCACACCCACCGACACCCGCACTCCACACCCACACCCACCCACCGTAAAAATCGAATATCTCGCTCTAGGCATTGCAATGGCAACTAATCTTTTAACCTTATTAGTTTGACAGTGAGAGCTTTCATTTGATATAAAAATGTGCCATCTCTTTGATTGACAACGCCAATACGTCTATTGTAAGTATAAGAAAAGTGTGAGAAAACAAAGAAAAGAGTTTTGTTTTTCGACTGAAAACTAGGTTTGTTCATTTATTTTTGTTGAAATAAATATCTCGTAGCTATTATCATCATTCTTTCACTCTAACAAACCGTCTTTCATCTACAATAGTCGAATGTTCTTCTTTAATATTATTAACATACGACATCGCCTTATTTTTAAAGGATTTTAGTAACAAAATTCGTATTAAATCGGGACCAGGTCAGCAACCTTGGCCTACCTGCCTACATATCAGGCCGAATATCCTACGGACGGATCAGATCAGGCGAAGATTCCAAAGTTAAGCCTGGCCTAGTAGTCTACCAGGCAGCAGGCTAGGCAGACAGCTCTGAATTGAACTAAAACAGAGCACTACTCAAATTAGAAAATTGATAGTTTTTGCATAAGATTTCGATACTAAATGAATCATTAATTCATTTTTAGAGATTTGATATTTAGGTAAATATGAGTAAAATATTTGTAGTAATAACTATTCGATCTTATCTTTCAATAGATATGTGAATTTTCAATTGAAGTCATTCGAATTCTATAGTATTTAATATCAGTGTTTATACACCATTTTTCAGACATTTACGACTTGATAGAGATTTAAATTTTCGTTTATAATTTTAATTCAAAAATTGATCTTTTTCCGTTCCGAATGCTGTGTTCAAAAATTCTAAACTATATCGTTAACCTTTTCTAGTTTCATACAAATCCTATAAATACTATTACTATATGACGATGCTTCAAAACGTTATTTTACATAACGTTTTTTTAACCACTGATAGTATCAGAAAAACTCTTCGCCAAAAATATTTAACTGACATAAAAAAGTTGGTGTTTTTCAAAGATATACATGGATAGTGAATTAGAGCAAGAAAAACTAAGTATCAGTACTTTCGTAGAAATTTCTTGCACTAATATTCCAATTTTGTGAGTGTTTTCACATCTATTCTATGCAGGATTCAAAAAGAAATTAGCACATGACTTTTTCATTTATTTTCACTCGTTTGTTTAAGTTTTGTGCAAGAAACACCAAATTTTCATACTAAAACTAATGCCAATGTTGTATTTTTGAATATGGAAAATGATCTGTAATACCAATGATCTGATCTATGTCAAACTGAAACGAACCATGTTCCTTTGACTGATTCTTATTTTACAATACATTGTTCAAAGTGATATTTCTGACGTAGATTTTTTATTTTTGACGAAACGATCAACTGATTACTAATGAAAACATAGAAACTATAATTATAATTTTGCACAGGTACGATTATTTTTCTTAATCTAAAAATCTTTTGTACAAGGCTTGAATAAATTATACCTCTTCATTTCACAAAGAGTATGAGGTAGAAAAAATTAAATTTTTTATCGACATGCTGATCTTTGTCTACCAAGCGAGAGTAATTACGAGTATTAGAATTTCAACTAGAGTCGTATTCAACGAACTACAGATCTTTTTTATTATTGTCTAATGTCTTCCATGCTTCTTGTAATGCTGGCACTGCCGTTCCACTTGTTTCAGCCAATAAGGTTGTTTCTGTTCCTGCTTTCGCTTTTATAGTACCATCTGGATTTAATTTTGGATTATTAGCAGCTGACGAGATATAAATATTCCATATAGCTCCAGCTAGACTCCCAACAATCGGTCGATAATTCAATGGTATAAAACGAAAGTTAATAAATGAAACGAATGGCCAATAACATGTTCCAGCTACAAACGTTTTTGGCATATCATGTTTAATTTTTCTTCTAGCTGTACGAAGAGTGTGACCCTGCAGAAGGATAACACATGTGAAGACGATACTTATATTAAGAGGTGCAAGTAATGTATTGGTCAACATCTTCTTTGCAATCTGAATACCTTGTTTACCTGTTCAAAATATAAAAAGATAAAAGGTAGAGAAATGATTTTAGTTACAAAATAAACGAAACAGAATTATTTTCCAAACTGAGATGAAAATGAATATACTGTGCCACCATATTTCTAATGCAATTCCGACTTCAATCATTCCATCGTACTTTAAATGAGGTAGTTTACTTCGAAATATGATTTTTTTTGTCTATCACGTTCGAAAAATTTGCATTCTTTTATGTATAAAGGAAAACATATGTACGTCGACTAAGATTTTAGGATATTAAATTTGTTGCCTGTTGATTATCTTCGTTTGTACTAACCTGGAAACAATCGCTCAACTATTCTTGCGAGTGTGAAGGACCAGGGTGTTGATACGAGAACAGCTGTCGTACACATGATCCGAGACCGTTCACGATCCCACCATGATAGCAAAGAAGACGACGACGGTGCAATAGTCTCACCCGTTGGACTCTTTTTATGACTTTCTAAATATTGACATATCAAATCACCAGTTGTTACACTTGTGCCGATTGCGATTGTTGTGATAATGTACGGTTTGATTAAACCACGCCAACCTATTCAGAAACATCATAACTCGAAGTTCTATGAAATAATAGTAGAATCGATATTCTGTGAATCTACCTTGTAGAGTTTGGGTTACAATTTTTGTAATATTAGTAACAAAAAGAGTCATGAAAAAAACGTTGAGTTAAGCAGTATACAAGGGAAAAATGAAACATGTGAGAAGGAAAGAAAAAAAGAAGTAATTTATTGCGTGAAAGGGTTGTTGAGTGCAGAAACATGCATCGATAGTGGCAACATTATACATTTTGTCTTTTTTCTCTTCTGTTCTCTTTTATCGCTGCACGTCTCTCCGTATTGTGTCTATGATTTTCTGTTTTCTTCTTTTTTTCCTCATTGGTCATATAGTTATATATGAAAGTATGAAATGACATCTAACCGCATCGTCAGTTATTGGATTAAATAAACTTATGAGTCATAATTTGTGTCGCACTTGCATACTTAAGTCTTTTTTTCCTCATACCTAAAATTTAAATTTTAGAATCAAAATTCATTCTGCATTACGATTATCATGATCTGTGTCGGATAAATAAAGATATTAGATCATATCGAAAATGTGTTGACAAAAAAATACTGCTATCATATATCTATGAAAACTCTATTCATTTTATAAACCATCATTTATATTGGTTTTAATACGATAAAGCAAAACTCATTTTGAAATATAACAGATTAAATTCACGTAATGTAGTTTGTTTGCGAATAAGTAATGGATTGTTGATATTAGAGTTCAGAAAGTTGTAAAAACGTCATTTGTACTATTTCCTTCTGTCAGTTTAATTAATATGAGAAAATGTTTAGGGTAGTCCAAAAGTTCTGAGCCCGATGTTTAAAATTTTATAAAACAGTTAATATCGAAAGTTTTTTTGCATGAATACATTGTAAAATGCCTCGTCTATAATAATACATATAATAACTCTATCTTGTATTTAATTCTAATATTCTTTTAGATAAAGTCTATGATACTTGAGACTGAACAAAAGTTCTAATAACATCATTAAAATATAAAAAGAAAGAAATATTTCTAATTTTATTTTATTATATGTTCAAAATAGTCACCATTATTGTTAATACAAAGTTCCATCCTTTCTAACAGTTTGTCGAAAGTTTTTTAAAACTCTTTTTCTGGAATATTGTGCACAATTTTGGAAACCTTCTGAAAGGGAACTGAAAAATATGAAAAGGTTCCGGATATATCCGAACATTGGACAACAGACAATTACATGATCGAATAGTTACTGTATCACAGATTTTATCTAACAGAATGTTAGAATTAAATACAAGATAGAGTTATTATATGTATTATTATAGACAAGGCATTTTACTATGTATTCATGCAAAAAAATTTTCGATATTAACTGTTTTATAAAATTTTAAACATCGGGCTCAGAACTTTTGGAATACCCTAAGTATATTAATACACAAATATTCTTAGATGAATTTTTATTAATTCATCGCGCTTGAACAATTGTCTCGTTGGTAATCACGAAACTACACGAATATCAATATTTGATGTATTATTCAAATCCATGGTTACGATGATCATATATGGACTATAAATTACTCGTCGGATAGGCACATTATTAAGTTTCTATAACACTATGTCGGTTACAGTGGATCTTGAGTCTTAACATGACAGTTACACTAAAAAGAAGCAAATAATACGGTAAAACATTGACTCTTAGACGATTAGAAGTGTCACATCAAATTTGATATTCATAATATAAGTGTGTATTGTATTTTAAGCTAGTTATAATCTTAAATCATTACGGACAAGTACTTAGCGTAGTAGGAACAAATGATGAAATTCAAGAGAAGCAAGAATAAAAGAAATACATTAATTATACGTAACTCAACATCATAAATATACCTGATACAACTAACTTGAAGAAAAAACAGATTAAGTTACGTGAAGACTAAGTAAGTATGCAGAATGATCAATGAAAGCCCATTTAATCTTCGCTGACGATATCATATATTTACTGAATTCACGATGATTGAATTCATCTCTTTGTTATTTAAAACAACTGACAAAAACTTCTCTTTGACAGTTTGATTATTTTTCGTCCAAAACTTATTGATTAAGATCTTTATGATCATCGATAGTCAAGAGATTGCATGCTTTCTTTGATAAACTCGCGTTGACAATGTTGGTCTGACGAAACAATCATTCTGTTTATATCTCCGTGTTTATGAAAGAGTTAGCAAAAAGAATAAGAAAAAACTCGTTATTTTCTCTTCTATTTAACTCTGTTATTAGCATCGCATTTTTTGACATTCTCTTTCTTTTACTCTCCTATATCGAATGATTGTTGACTCTATCATAAGAAAAAAACAACTGCCTACAACATTAATTTTCACACACCACTCGTATTTTGTTTTTTGTAATACAGAACATTTCCTAGCATATAACCGATATTCTTTTTAAGACGGAACACAACTATTTTCTATCAAACAAATCTATCAACACATCAAAACAAAAAAGATCAAAGATTTTTATTTATGAGTACACAAGTCAAACGTGCTGTAAGACAAAATTATTCAGAATAATTATTCCTATTATCCAAGTTACATATCGAAATCACAAACAAAAACAAAAGAACAGACATGTTAAGCATTCATTTTAATTGTATGAACTCTTTTATAAATTAGACTGCTTAATCTCTATATGCGGTTGTCAGTATCAAAATATTTATCTGTACTCTGAAGTAGTGACATAGGTCCGTTAGCTATTCTATGTGTTCTCGCCAGTTTTCTTCCGAAATGAATTTTGTCGATTTACCTTTTTTTCAGGCCGTGACTTGAGAGCTTGTCCAATAAGCAAAAGTTGCTTTATTTTTATTTTTACTCTTATTCATCCTTCTCTATAGTGCTCTATCATCAGTTGTAAATTTATCGAGTTTCTTCAGTTAAAAGCAGCAATAGTTAACCGAACGTATGCACCATATTCGACGACTATGACATTGTTCATCTTTTTCTACTTTGATTATGAGGACGTTGACTACAATGACCATTTCTCCTGTTATTTCACTAATTACTGTTGAGATGAAGAACTTATCGCATCTGTCACATCTTTGTCATGCTCTCATCGTCGACCTTTGGTCAACTAATCAAATAAGTCCCGATACATATCTTCCAACCTTCCTGGACCAATTACGCAACATCGCAACGCAACTTATTGAGATGCTGTGATTCCATGGCAGCACGCCGTCGCTGAAGATTTGGAGAGTGTTGCAAGATCTCACACATGTTTCTTACCTTGAATTGATCAGTGGATACGAGGAATATTGCAACATTGGACCGTTAGATAATAGTAGGTGCATCCTGGTCTCTACAGTCTTTGGTTATTGGAAGTGCATGTGATGAAGGGTGGGTGTGGGTGAAGAGAACAGATACACCCACACCGACACCCTCAAGCCCAGAGCGCGCTGCATCTTTTGGTGTATTTAGGTTGAACATCAAATGCAGTTTAAAGCACAAAACAAATATATTAGAAGAAAACTGACATTTTTTTTCTTTACATAACCGAATGTCCATAACGTTGTAACATCTGTTTTATTTCGCATATATCTCGGCTTAGGTAAATGATAAAACTTTGAATTTTTTTCCAAAAGATGCGCGGTGAAAAACTCTACAAAATCTGTATGATCGAATTCCTTTTAACATATTCTAATGGTTTTTCTTATACTCAAGATGAACAACTTACATGACAGTGTTGCTTTCCATCATACTGAAAATATTTCGAGCATTTTTCTGATTCGCTATAGGATTTGGTCTATACAATTTTTGTAGAGCTATTATACAAGTCTTGTAGAACTTTCGACGGCACACCTTTTAGAAAAAAGTCTCAATATTTCATCATTTTCTCAAGTTGAGATATGTGCAGAACAAAAAGTCTTCCAACATTTTCAGTATGACGGTAAGAGGCTCTGTTATATAAGTTGTTCATTTTTAATATGGGAAAAACGATCAGAACAGGTAAAAAGGAATTTGATCATACAGTTTTTGTAGAGCTTTGCACGGCACATCTTTCAGAAAAAAATTCAACGTTTTGTCATTTACCTAAGCCAAGATATACGCGAAATAAAAAATGTTACCACATGAAAATATCTTGTAATAAAAACAAATGTTACTTGTTTTTCTAATACACGTTTTACATTTTAAACTGCGTTTGATGTTCAACCTAGATATACCAAAAGATGCAGCGCACTCTGGGCTTTCTTCCTATATATAATGACTTAATGGATAAAAAGCGTATAGTAATAAAAAAGAAAAAAATCAAAGGGTATAATTTCAGTTGTCCTCGACTGTAGATACTTATTCGACCGTCACTGGGAAGGATCTAACTATCAATTATAGTTATACTCGTCAGTTCTATCCATGAGAATCACTGTCATTCGAATGGCTAAGGGATATAGTTTTTATCATTCTATATGGCTGTGGGTTGACTATATCTATTAATCACATTCGTGATCATGAGTACAATAGATTTGTCGGTAAGTATCAACATGATATCATTCTCAAAAAAAAGTAATGTCTGCTTTTCTGCCATTTTTCTTTGTTTTATATGACGTATGTTGAAGACAAACACAAGACGATAATGAAGAGTAGAAAAAAAAAGACGAATAATCTATAGAGAAAATGCATAATTCCTCGTCAGGTATGTTCATTTTTCTTTTTTCAATTATATCAACGAACTGATTGACTTGATGTATCGTACGGCGTTGTTTTATTGCTATCAAAAAAACAAAAAATCGTCCATAACTGACGGACATCGATGTAGTCTACATGTATATGTTTGTCTCTTTTTCTAT